AACAAGGCTACATTTGTTGTGCCTTTATCATATGGGTCAAGGTTATGAGTGAATGTTTCTTAGAAAGTGTCTGCAATAGCGTTCGCTTTGTCTTGATTGGAATATACGACGCCGGAGCTCGTGTGAAGGTTAGGGATTTATTTATAACTATTTTTGAGATTTTTAGTGATTTTGTAAAGGCTATTGTCTTCTGTAGATAAGTCATTTAAATAATTTTTCCATCTGTCTTGCTTGAAATCTGCGATGCTTCTTTTAATTTCATTTTGGATCCTGTTGAGTTGGTTTTTAATAATGGGTCTCCAGAGTTTTGCCAGATTTTTCGAATCCTGTGTTTTCTTCTAATCTTATCCTTGATTTCCCAGGGGAGAGGCATAGAATTGTTTTTGATGTTATTGGTAGCTAGATTGATGGCATGTTGAATATTTTGGGGTGAATTTATCAATTTCTTCTATTTAGGATTTTTTTTCAATTTTTGGGTTGCCTGATATCGTAGAGGTTAAAATTTCGGAGAACTTGGGCCAATTTGTAATTCCCACACACCGTTCCAAAGTTGGGGAGTAGGCATTAGTGGATATTTCAAGCATGATCGGGTTGTGGTCGAATGCTAAGGCTGGAATGGCAGAGATGGTGCAGGTTGGAGTTAGGCTACTGGAAAGAAAAAAGTCTATTGTAAAGTGGCTATTGTACCCGTAATGGGTGGGGTCATCGGTGACATGTATGTTAAGATTTCTATTTTGAATGAGGTTGAAAATTTACCTGCGTATTTTATTAGATGAGTTACGATTCCATAATCTAAGTTTGGCGTTGAAGTTGCCTTTCACTATTGCAGTAGAGTTTGTAGAATGTAGTATTCCTAGTTCTATCATGTTCGGGTTATTTCTTGGTGGGATGTAAATATTAGAGATTATGTATCTTTGATTGTTGAATTTCATTATTATGCTGTTGCTTTCAAATGAGATTGAATTATTGGGGGGAATTTGATGATCAAGACCTCTTTTGACATAGGTGCAAATTCCTCCCCCCTCTTCCTGTGTCCTGGTCTGTCCGGTAGATATTATAATTTGCTATTAGTACTTTTTTGCACGGCTTCAGGTGAGTTTCTTGAATAAGAATTACGTCTGGTTACAGGTCTTGAATTAGGTAGTTAAATTCTTCTTTTTTGCCAAACAGAGTGTTCGCATTCCAAGAGAGTATTTTTAGTGAGCTGCGACTGTTATTGATTGGATTGTTAAAAATAGTTGCTAATTTTTTCTAAGACATCTATAATGACTCCGAACTTTTCGATTGTGTTGGTTGCTGATTTAAATTGCTTGATTCCACTAATAATGACTTCCCATACATCTTTGAGACTATTGAAGTTGAAAATTCCGGAGACTAGAGAGCTATTGGATTTTTGGGAGTGTTCGCTGCTATTTTGTGTTGAATTAGTATTAGTAGGTGGTACTGTTTCTGTCTTGATGTTGTTTCTTGATGTTCTGTCTTGATTTTAGGTGTTGCACTTGGTATGAACTTGGATTTATCTGAGTTTGGGCGTGCCGGAACACAGAGCCCGTTCAGACGAGGGCGTAATGGACATAAGTGGTTAAAGCCAAGCTGCGTTGCCAAGGCAACCAGTCTGTGCTACGTCACATAATCTGGTTTAAGGCTCGTGGCGCAAGGTTGAAAGTTTTCAACTTTACGCCGAGTTTGGGATAAGCGTCGACCAATCAGAGCGAAGCTAAAACGAAGCGGGACAATTTCGCTGTCACTTCGAAGGCGACATTTTTTTTTAATATGGAGCGCATCGTGTCCAATGAAATTTTAATCGCTGGAGTCTAGAACCATCCCGTAATTTGGGATGCAAGATCCATGGACCACAGAAATCTGAACCTCGTTCAGAAAGCCTGGGAGATGATTGCTGAGGATACAAATTGTGGTGGTAAGTAAATTTGGTACTATTCGGTTTCGAAGGCCGTAAAAAAATTGCAACGAAAATGTATGCGCAAAAGCGCCAAATCTAGCAAACGCGCCCATTTAACAGCACGCCAAATCTAGCGTACGCGCTGATTTCAGATTGCGTAAGTTTATATAGTTCTGTATTTCTTAAGACGCCATTGAAATACTAGTTTAATTTTTAAATCATTTTTTGATTTTAAATCCTTTTTTGATATCCTATGGATTTAACAATATGGGAATTGCCATGACGAAAAGTCGGCAATAGAATTTTGGGTAAAGTGCAGAATCGCCCACTGCTTGACGCGTTTTTAAGAATTGCACATACTCGGTATCCATGTGCACATCAACCTATTTTCACTTTAAAAAAAATTCCCAGAATTGCACAAAAATGGCACTGCGCACACCCTTGACTTTATCTATGTACACATCGACCTATGTTCACTTAAAAAGTAAAAGAAAATTGACAAAAATCCAATTGCTTTTTACCCTTTTACCCTTGTAAAAAGCGGCAAACAAGTAAGTGAGCGATTCTGCACTTTACCGAGAATATTTTCAAAGGAAAGGCATCATTCATTATAGAAAATTACGTTTGAACAACCAACGAGATGAAATTATGCTTTAGCGATAAGCCGGTAGCGAAATAGCGATGCAGGCATCCATTCATTATGTTTAGCAATTTTTATATAAATTATAATAATGATCTGAAATAGTTATTTACTCATATGCTTTCATTCATTCCTGTTTAGCCTTTTTCATATAAATTATAATAATAAATTAAGTATTATATGAAATTAACCTTTCATCTAAATTAAAACATCAATCTTAAATAGTTATTTACTATAATACTTCCTTTCTTGACGCAATTATTAAGGTTGCCGCAATTATTTTTGGCAGCATTGGCATTAACAATAGTTTGGCGATTTTTTACGGCCCTCGAAACCGAATAGTACCGTAAATTTTTTGCCCTTTTTGTTTTGTTATTTAGATCGCTAGGTCTTAATTAAATTCGCATTCATATTTAACTTGTCTCTTGCATACATGTTTTTTTTTTAAAGTCCATTATTAAATTTGATTTTGTCTGTCATTATTATGCTGATATGATTATGGGTATATGTAGGATACTGTGAATGATTTATATATATATATATATGTATGTATACATGCATTCATCATTTGAAAACCATTACAGTTTACTAAATTAACAGTGTCAGAATGCGATTTAATTACAAATTTTATTTGAATTTCCAAAATATAAACAATTTTTATTTTAACTGCATATTAACAAGAAGAAAATTTGAACTTGATTTATATTGGTTAAAAGATCTACAGCTATTTTTGGAAAATGAAAGTAAAAAATATATAATACTGTTATAGAAATTTATCTGAAGCAAAGATATGCAAAAGTTTCAAATCTGCATGTTTGGCTGTTTTCATTTATCTGTATTATTATTGCTATTATTATTTTTGTTATCACAGAATAAGAAAGAGAAACCTATTCAGTGAGGTGAAATCAAAGAAAATTCAATTTTACTGTATCGTTGACTCTTTTCAAACCATTTAAAATTTCCCTTTATCTTTATTTATGTATTTAAATTTCTTTCAGTGTCATAGAAAGAAAACAGTGTAGTAATTTTTGAAGAAGCTTAAATTAAAAATGGATATGTATGCCATGTTTATTGAATAAAAAGAAAATAATTTAATTTAAACTAGTAAGCATGTGTAATGCCTTTACATTGCTATGGAGCCAAATAATAGGGAAATAAAGCCAGGGAGAAATGTGAAGTCCTTGAACTTGAAATGTTTTAGTTGTGCAAGTTCAAAAAATAAAATGATTGATGTTTGACCAAGCTAGTAAAATTACTTTAAAAAACTTCATTACGAACATAATTCACATTCATCTCAGTTACTTCAATAACATATCACATTATAGTGATATGTCATCACATTTATGTTCTAAACTATTTACTCTGAAGGATGAAATTCTGAATATGTTTTGTTTTATGAATGAAGTAGAGAGGATTAGTTTTTGGATTTATTGATTGAATACTATTTCTGTATTATCTTACTAACTTATGTGACAAATTGACATTTTAGATCAATTACAAAATGTTAAATTCCACTTCCTCTGTCAGGTTACATATATTTGATATATGAAACAATAATTAATCCTCTGGCCCCCAAGAAAGGTATTCATATGATACCAAACCATGTTTGCATGCCACAAAGATAAAGCTTGTAGAAAATTATAATTATGCTTTTAAAAAATGGCACCCAACTCTTTTTTTGAAATAACATGGTTCACCAGTAAGAAGAAATACACTTTTTTACACAAATTTTTTGTTCTATCATGAATCCACCCAATTTTTTTAAATTTTTATTTTGACAATTTATCATCATTATTTATCAGAAGTTGTTCAGTTTATCCCCACACATGCTTCATAATGTAGTTGTTGAAAATAAATACTATTGCATTGCTCTGAATTTATCTTTTGTGGAATAGCAATAAAAATGTTTTACCAACTTTGAATTTTCATGGCAGTTAAATAAATATGTGAGCTCTGTCTGATATTTAACTTCTAGCCTAACACTGTAGTATTTAAAACCTGCAAAGTAAAATTTTATAATTGGTCTTCCCAAATTGAATTTTGATTCATCGCTAAAGACAACCTGGTTCCATATGTTGTAGTCAAGTGCGACAGCATTCCAAACAGAGAAAATGGTGTATGTCATTCAGAGCACATATATCTTATTGTCAAATTTTGTTATGATCTTACAATTACTTCATGAGGCATAAGATTTTATGGCAATGGGTGTATTTATTAAAATTTTGCAACTTCAAGTAGACATTTATTTTTTCACTTAAATGAACATTTACTATCTTAACAACTTGTTCTGGTAAAATTAATTCGTGAAATATAATACATTTAAAAAAATTTATTATAGTGAAAGAGCTTCAGTACCGTTGGAAGTGCATCCGAAGGTCATACATCAGGTACAAGAAGACCTTGACAACAAGAAGCGGTGATGGTGCTGCATCAAAAATAAGAAAATTTCCACTTGCTGAGCAGATGGCCTTTTTAGAGGATACTATCAGACATAGGCGGTAAATTCTGTTTTACGTATTGTAACTACTATAACACAAGCCTGTTAAAAATGTAGAAATTATGTAATTTAATGAATTGTTTTTGATATTAAGTTGTGAATATAACATAATTCCACTTAGGAAAACTAAGTGGAATTATTGAGGATTTTTTATTAATGTACAATATATTATCAGTACATTAAAAAAAAGCATATTTTAAATGATTAAGATTTATTTTTAGTAATGCAAACTAGATACTAGGTATAAAACTAATTTTGAAAAATGTGTAATATTTTTTTATTTTTTGAATGTAATAAAACCAAAAATGACATTTTAATTAAGAAATTGATGTTCATAATCCGGAATTCTAGATGTCTAGTATTAACTTAGAAAATGAAAATGTAGATTTTGAAGGCCATTGTAAAACTGATAATTATCTCGCAGTGAGTGACGAGAATAATACATAGATAAGAAACTTAAATCATGATATTGCAACTTCAGTATACAGATCCTCCTAGAACAGAATAGAAATAAACTTGATACTCAAAGATTTCTTTAATGTATTTATTAATAATTCCTATTAAAAAATCTCATAGTGTGTAAGTAAGCCTTAGTTAAACTATTATTCAGGATTTATTAAATATATTCATTAATAAATAAGCAGTTATTTAACAAGGTTTCACTAAATCTTCATGTATATTAGAATTTTTAAATTCTGTGTGTGTAGTGGCAATTTTTTTATTTTAATATTGTGTATTATTTTATTTTTCTAACGTAGCACTCGTTTCAATGTAAAACCAGCAGTGGATGGGCCTAGTTGCAGCAATGCATCACTGCTTCCTGTTGCTGAGGAAGAGATTCTTTCGTCACAGGACCTATTTGATAACGAGGAGGTGTCAATCATCTGGATGTGTCCTGTGACGAAGATCATCAAAATGAAACTTTGGAAACTCCAAAAGTATTGAAACGAAAGGGTCAAAAATTTTCAAGAGCAAATTTTGAAATTGATGAAGAGAAATAGCGATATGATGGCCAAAGAAGTCTGTGATGATGACATGCATTTTTTAATGAGTTTTCATAACAAATTGAGAAATATGGATGAAAATTTAAAAGCAAAAGTTAAGCTCAGGATCATGCACGCTGTGTATGATTTTCAATTTATTATGAAAATTCTTTAAAAAATGCATGTTTGTAAATATTTCTTTGTATATTTTTTACTTGTAAATATCTCTTTATTTATTTTTATTGTAATTACTTGTAAATATTTTTATTGTAATATTTTATTTATTTATTTTTAAAATAAATTTATTGAAAAAGATGAAAATATGGTATTGCTATTTGCTTTAAGTGCTGATTTTCTTTTCAAACAAACTTTATAAATTCATTTTATTAAAACATCAAATTGGTATCATGAATTGTTGGCTTCGTGCAGTTTTAACCATAAAAATACTAACATTAAAATTAATTTCACTTTAAGAACAATAATCAGTTTAATTACATAGGCTTCGTATAAGTAGTTAAAAAGATTAATCTTTTGAGAAAATGCTCTTGCGAAGTTCAAAAAGGAAAAAAATGCAGTGATGTATCCTTAAATCAACAGTCACAGTTCTAGACAGTTTTGGTCTCCTGCTGATCTTTGTTTCTGGTTTTGAATTATGTTATCTATCATAGGAATTTATTTTTGATAAAAATGAATAACATGCACAATTCATTGCACAGTGTATAATTTAATGAATAACACAGCATTTATTATTTATTATCCACAGAAATTTTGATGCGTTAAATTCTTGTCATTTCTCTAGTAGAAATTTCTAGATAAGACATAGGTGTTTGTAATTTTAATCTTTCAGCAAATGAAAAAAGTGCATAATGATTGTTAAGATTTGTAGAACATATTGAGGAAAAGCCTTTTTGAATTATTATTAAATCCAAGTAAGAAGATGTCTCGTGTTACAAAGGTTGAGTGAAGTTTACAGAAATTAAGAAAAGTAATACCATTGTTTACTTTGTACTGTATTCGAATGTAACCCCGCTTTTTTTACTTCCTTGTACGAAGTAAAAAGGAAGTATTGTTATCGCAAAAAGTTTCAAACAGCAAACATATTTCAATGAAAATATCCATTTTGACCTCTTCGAATGCAAATTTAACGATGCATTTGCGTGATATCTGTACATAAGGACAGAATAAAAGACTCTTTTCCTCCAAAACTTATAAAACTGCTTTAAAATGAATTCTGAAGAGGATTTTTCCTGGTGTCTGTACGAACGTATCTTGCATAACTCAAAAACGAGTAGCCTCAGAACATTGAAATTTTGTATACAGGACTGCTATAACATGTAGATGTGCACCTCGTATTTTGGTTGCAATCGGCCGCACCAAACATATATAAATATATTGATATATATATCCACTCTGTTACCCGGCTCAGTGATCTCAGTTTCTTTACTCTTATATGGTTGTAAATTGTACATTTTTTGCTTTAAAAATGATTGAATTATGTTGTTCTTATCTTCCGGTTAAAGTTTTTATGCCTTTAGTAAATCTGTATGCAATATTTTTAGAATTATCAACAATTTCGAAGTTGTTTAAGTGTCCGCTAAGCCTAATAATCTTTTTTTGATGGCGGCCATTGCTTGTTTACATTTGAAACAACAGAGTAGTGGATTTGCTGCCAATCTAGAGAAACGTAGCTCGCAACAACAAAGATAACGCCTTCATTTATTATTGCGAATTAAATCATGCTTAATCCTTTCTGGAATTTTTTCGAGGAAATAAGTGTTTAAGATTTACTTTGTAATTTTTAATACAGATGTTTTGAGTTTTTATGTATTTTTGTTTTGTTGCAAAGTGAGAACTGAATTAATTGAATGAGAAATACTCAATCGTCTGTGAAAAACTGTTTCTTTTTTGTTTTGCTTGCTTAATTTCTTTTATATATTGTTCTAACTTTATTATAGTATGTGAATAGAACATGTGGCAACGAGATAATTCTTTACATGATATAAATTTTGTGCATTCTGAGTTATAATATGAACGAAATATAATACTGTTAAGTGAACCTAGAACCAGAGTGTAGCTATGGTAAACAAATAAAGTGAATTTTAAAGAAAGCATTTATTCTATTGCGGTTTATGCGCTGTTGGCGAAGTAGGTGTTAATTCAATCCAATAAGTTTAAATGAAATGCAAGAAAAAATGCGTATAATTTAATATTCCGTACAAGGAAGTCATGTGGTGTAAACATCAGATTTTTCCAGAAAAAGCATATGGAATTCAGGAGTGCGGCTTACACATGAAAATGATTAGAAATAAGATGCATACAAACAGCTGGAAACACAGCAAAATGTATTTGGTGATTGAGTATAAAATCCATTGTTGGGAGAATGTTTCATAGAACTGTACAAGTTTAGTTGTGGTTGCAGGTCATGGTGACCAGTTGTGGGATACTAGTACTAGCGATAATGATACTGGTAGTGCATGTTCCTTTTGATTGGAAAAAGAAAAATAATTAATGTATGGTAAGTACTGTTTTCCGCTAACTGCTTTCACACCTGCAAAATGGAAAAAATGTTGTATACAGGCTATCTGTCATTTATCCTCAGGAATTTCTTTTTTTTTTAAATTAGGCTTATTTAGAATATGGTATTTCTCCTAAAAGAAATTATATATAAAAAATTGAAGAAGGTTGTATATATATGCATGTGCATGTTTATAGTTTAGAGAGTAGTACTACAGTGCAATGCAGAAATATTCCATACTGCTTTGCACAGAAATATGCTGTTCTATACTTATTTCAATATTGCATTCTATAAGTTTGATTCAAAAATGCCATTGCAGATATTTAGTGTATTCCTATAACAATAAGGCTATTGTCAAAGTATGTTTCTGAGTTGTCATTAAAAAAAAAGGTATGCCTTGTACTTTCTTAATGTAATTATTTTGTTTGAATATAAAATAGCAGTGTTTCCTAGTGACCTTGCGGTAACTACTTCCACTCGTTTTTTTGTTTAGAGAGAGAATCGCCATGAGCCCTATAACTCTCTATAAAAAAAAATTAGATATACTTTCCTTGCCAGGGAACAGAACCTTCATTTGCGAAGTACTCGGCATAATTATCTCTGATATTTTTGGCGAGACTTGTGGAGTTGTTTGAAGATTGTTGTGAAACAGATTTCAAACTTTCACTACATCTCCAGAGCCCATCCTGGACCTCTCCGTTCAACAAAGGGTAGTCACCGTACATTTTGGGACAATATAGTTTGTTACCATTCTGAATTCCATCTTTAATTAAAAAGTTGTGGAGGCAACAACAGGCATTTACAACTGTCTCACTGTTTTCTGGAGTTAAAAGAAGTGGTTTTCTTAAAACCTGCCAGTGAGATGACAGTATGCCAAATGCATTTTCGATGCATCTTCTTGATCGAGAGAGTCTGTAGTTATAAATTTTCTCTGAGCATGATAAATTACTCCTGGTCCGAGGATATGGTCTCAAAAAATGCTTTTTCAAACCAAATGCTTCATCGCCTAAAAATACATGAGGCAAAACTCTTGCACTTTTAGGCAACTTTTTATCATGTGGCAGATTCAGCATATTTTGATCCACTGCTCGTCCCAGGAAAGAATTAGAAAAAACCCCTGCATCGCTGATGCGTCCAAAATTACCTAAAAAGAAACGTACAAAATTTTTATTAAAGTCGTATATGTAATTTTTTAAATAAAATATTTTGGGTACAACATTATTACTATAATCTATGAGAATTATTATACCTATATCTACAAATACAAAACAGTAATTTGCGTCACAAGATGCCATCAACACTATGCTGTTGAATTTTTTGTAGTTCGTATATGTCGAACCTGCCAATGCAGGAGCTTTTATTTCAACATGTTTTCCTGAAAGAAAGAGAAAAAAAAGATAAGGGGAAGGAACAGGGCAATTACACGTGAATTAACACGTTGACTGCCACAGGAAAGTCAGGTAAAATACTCCGTTAGACTTTTTAATTATGTTTTCTTGTCCCCTTTAACTTAAAATCAGTTCTATACTTAGTCTAAATATTTAATAAATTATTAAATAAATAATAATAATTAGTTTACAATGTAATTCACCATAAAGCAGCACAAGAATTCATCGTCTTGATAGTAGAAATTAGTAAAATTAAACAAATAGTGAAACACCATATATAACCAAAAATGAATAACCTAGTGAATGTATAAACATCTTAAAATGTTCAAAATTTCTCATATTCGTTAAATAAACACTACAATCCCTTTAATTACAACATTGTTGTCTTACTTCGACATAAATAATAATTACTTAAAAGATATTGCAGCAAAATATGTATTAAAATTGTAATAATTCATAGAAAAGTTTCCAGAAACCAAGAATATAAAGCAACTTTGTAAGGCCATTGCAGTAATTTTAGTCCTGTAAATCTGTGTGTTTGTGAAGCACCAGTGACTTATATGGCTCCAAACAATAAAAAACCTGTGAATCACATTCAATGTTGGCTGTGAAAAGTAAGGCCACCGTTGAATTATCACTGATGCTCCTAGCAGTCAAGGTGTTAAATAATATTTTTATAACTAGGATATTAGCATATAAAATTTAGCACTTTCATTATATATCATATTTGATACTAAGTATTTGTAATGCTTGCGGTATGAATTCGTTGGTGACGTGTATAATGTAATAGATGATTTAGAGGTAAAAGTTTTTGGATATTTTATTTATTTTATATGTGGAAATGTTCATTACTTTTTCGCGATCAGGTAATTTCATATATGTTCTTTTTACCGGGTTTAAAGATTGAGAAAATTGTCATGTATTTTCGTGAAATTTTTCTAATATGAGAAAAAAGCAGTGTACAAGGATATAGTGAAGAGTGTGCGCAATGCCATTTTTGTGCAATTCTGGGATTTTTTTGAAGTAAAAATAAGTCGGCGTGTACATGGTTTATGTGTATGTGTTATTTTGAAAAACGCGTAAGGAGTATGGTATTGTGCACTTTTTCCCAATTTTGCAGTGAATATTTGTCATGATTAAGCAGTTTTGTTAGATAAAATTTCTAGCATAAGTGTAATTCGGCTAGTAGATTGTTGGAAGAAGTGTTCAGTAGATAAAAAGAAAAGAAACATGTCTTTACTTCGTGAAGACAAAATGGCGGCGGGAAAAAAAAAATAGAGGGTTGCTGTAGGAGAGTTGGTCGCCAAAAAAACGCCAAGTTACCATAATGTAAAGATCAACCGAATTTAGTTATTCTACACTTTGCTTCTTATAATAATGAATAAATGTAGGAAAACCAAGATAAAACATAAATAGCTTGAGGTCATAATGTGTAAATAGATAAATAAGATATGTACACATATATTCAAAAGAATAAATAATAAAGTTAAATTTAATTTAAATAATTCTCTTGTGCCATTGCTGCAAGGAATGAAATTTGAATTTAACAAACATTCTCTATTCATAAAAAGAAAATTTAAATTTAACTAAATTTTAAAAAATGAAGTAATGCAAAGAAATAAATGATTAATTATTGCTGCGAACTAATCTAGACTATCATTTAAATTCTGAGAGCATATATAAATCAAGTGCAAGTATCGAAATCCATGAATAAATATATAATTCCAAATTAAAGCCTAAAAAATTTATAAAAATGCATAAGTGAATAATTCTTGAGCAGGCAGGAGACAGACTTATTGAGGGGAAGTTACCTTATGGCTTGCCTTTTAAATATATATTTTAAAAAAATACTTGCATTTGACTAAGTTACATATATAACAAAATTATTTACCTTAAGCATACAGAAAGCTTCTCAGATGGTGTCAGAGGTTTCCTCATGCAAGTGTTTTTTTTTTTTTTTTTTTTTTTTGGTCATTTTCTCACTCACAAGAGACAATAAATAGTCATACTGTTTAACCTATGAAACAGAAAAAAAATTATTAAATACAGCTATTAATTAAGCAAATAATTAATTAAAATAAAAAATAAGAATAATTGTTTTAACTTTAAATACTTACCGACATACGAGTGAAATTGAAGAACAAATCTTCGTTTCCATTTCTGAGTTTCGGAAGAAGCTCGTTGTGCCAACCAAGTATTGGCCTCTCCAAAAAAATATCTCTCGACCATTTCGTTTTTTTACCTTCTTCCGTTGCCTCTTGGCTAATGAGAAGGGCAGATAAAAGATCATTCTGTTGAGCCAGTAAAACTTTGTGGGAGCTGAAAAAAGCCATGGCACAACGAAAAAAACAAGCAGAGCGAACGCGGGAAATCAATCGAGCGGGAAAGTTGTAGACATTGCACGCATGCGCAAATTTAGCTTCTCTCATTGGCCACGTCTTACACCTCGTTCTCGCAAGTGTGAACAGGTCTCCCGTATTTTATGACCTTATGACTATGCCTCTATGCGCTTTACGCCCTCGTCTGAACGAGCCCTGAGAGAAATCGGCTAGATGAGGCCCATTGAAGTGGCAACACTTTGCTGGTTCCGTGAGTGGTACTGGACACGTTTTAGGAACATGCGAGCCTCCGCAGTTGACACGTACCCAATCTCTGGTGCAAAGCAGGGAGCTGTGAAAAACTGATTCATGTATATAACATTGGGGGGGGCGTTTTTTTTTCTTTTGAGTGATTCAATCTGAACACTGAGGTAGCCAATTCTTTTTACTTGATGCATAGCCTTATTTGCATCAGTTTTTTTTTCAAGATGTATAAGAAAAAGGGGCATTGGTCTATTTGCACGTCGGTTTCTGTGAAGAGTGATGTATTTGACGTCGAATCCTTTATCTTTTAAGTCTTGGGTGATGTCCACTGGATTAATTGTAGTAGGGAGGCCTCCGATAACAATTTTGAGGACGTTTTCCTCTGGAAGTTGATAGGTGTGTTTTTTTAGATTAATGTCCGTTACAACTTAACGCACGTATCTGTGCGTATCTGCGTCTGGTGTGTAGTATATTTGCTTTTATCTGTCCTATAATTTACTTGCCAGTTTGTATATTTATATTCTGTATGAATTCGTCAGGTTGTATTATATCATCGATCACTATGGGAGGAACTCGTATTTGATTTGATTTTGCTTCATTATCATTATTCTTATTTGTTTTATATTTCTGAGGTTGACTTTTATCGGCGGTTGTTTCTTTATTCTTTGCATCGTGAGTGATATCTTCTTTCTCAACCGTATGCTCGATTTTCATTATGTCATTGGTCTAGTCTGGACACCGGTCGAGATCGATATTGGAAAACCAGTCGGGATTCTCTTTCCACTCGACAGCAGAAGGGAGAGCGAGTCTGGCACCTTCAAATTCCGTCGGTGGAAAGTGAAGTGGAAATTCCGTACGGAAGTGACGTTTATTGCATAGCCAACCTAAGGCTCCTCTAAACCAGGCTGAATCACCAACTTTTCTCTCTTGGCGAGGGAGGGAACGCGCTACCAATTTTGGCGCGTTTATCGCACACGCTGGCTGAATGTCTGCTGTTTTTTTTTTAAAGATTTATTTTATAGACGCGCGGCATTCAGCGCACATAAACTTTTCGGATAATTAATTAATTCTCGAATAGTATATAGACGTTTTCACTTAAATAAAAATTTCGCGTATATTTTGTAAACATATTCAAAATAACTTATTCTTTAGATGTTTCAGTTTCGTTAGCAGACTAAAATAAATAAGATATGAATAAAAACTTTCAATAGTGTCAAATGGGGAAATAGTTAAAGCGTAGAGTGTGCAAATAAATTTATCTTAATGACATTTTAACAAAAATTTCCATAAAAACACTGTAAATTCATACTAAAAAAAAAATAACTTAAGAATATGTTGTCATTTTAGTCTGAGGTATATGGAAATAATTGTGCAAGACTCTGAAGAAACACTTTCTTTTAAATGTGTGAAATATTTCATAACATATATGGAAGAAGAAAGTACAGCATTCTGTGTTTTGGATGACTTTCACTCCAAATGTAATATAAATACGAACTAGAAAACCGTAATAAAAAGTCCTTCCTCTCCAATCAGATCACCTTTGTGTTGCATTGTATTTGTAATACTTCTAAAAATCCAATTTTTACCTAAATTAAAAACAGTTATTCCATAAAAGATAATAAATTTGAACGTATATAGAATGAATTTTGTTAATTTGAGTTATGTTACAAAATAATTCATAGTTTATATATTTTATACTAATAATTTAGATAAAAACCTGTCCTTTTACAATTTAAGAATGTGTGTTAACCACATTCTTAAATTGTAAAAGGACGACTTAACCACATGTAATTCATTTCAAAGCATAAAAGAAAGCTTATTTTTTTATTTTACACAGCAACAGCATTTTCATGCAGTCAAGTTTTTTTAATTGTTAGTTATTATACATAATACTTAATTTTTAACACATTCTTATTAGAAAGCATAACTAAGAAAAACTTCTTTTTAAAGCCCCACAGTAATTGCAAAGAATGTCGTTAAATTTACAAAAGTATTGAAGATATATTGAACAGCATTATAACAAGAAACTACTGTACAAAATATGTAAATTTAACATAACTTCTTTTTTAGTATTTGCATAGTTTCCTCCAAATGAACCTTAATGGGAAGTTATCTTGCAAAAATTTAAAAGTATTAAAATGGCCTCTATTTAAGATGTAACTGCATTTATAATTATTTTGTAATTGTGAATAGATTATATTATTGCAATTAGATTATGCACTTACAACATAATTGCATAAAGTAATGAAATTAAGAGTTCACAGATACAATGTAATATAATTACAAAGCAATTATCTAAATTGTAATTATAATCACTTATTTAATACCACAATATTATTACAATCACAATGTAATTTAAATTGGGTACTATATTTGTATACCCTCCACTCAAAAGGAGGTACTGATAAGCCTGGAAGTTATTATCAACAAAAAGCCTGTTCAGGACAGTTTGATGACAATTCCACCGGGCGAAAAGTACATTCTTAAGCCCAGGCAAATCATGACAATAAAAATCATTTAGTCTCATGATTCACTATATTTCAAACCCTAAATTTGAATTCTGCACCAAATTATTTACCTATATTTTAATATACTTTATGAATTATTAGAAGCGATATGGCAAATATCTTCTAAAAATAACTGTAAAATATTTGTATCCATTAATTGATTCAGATACACACTTTTATTATTTAAGTATATCAAAATAACAGTTTCATGTTCCTGAAATACAAAAGTTATGAAAAAAGTTAAAGTAATATTCTTAGAAGCATATGATATTAGTCACCAGCTGCAAAACAGTTAATTTTTTGCCCTAAATACAAGTTTATTACACAGTAGTCATACGTGTAACTTAATAACATGGTATATAAAAAAAATTAATGATAATAAGTTTATCAGAAATGAATTAATTCTGCAAATAAACTTTCTGCATTTGAAAATTTTCTACACCTGAGGGGAGGGAGAGATCTAGTAAAATTAGATTTATTATAACTTCAGTTGGACCAAATACCTTCTCTCTCTATATATATATGCATCACTAAAGAAATAAATAAAATTATCATGCTTAAAAAACAGATGTACCATACCAGTTTTTTTTCCCCTTGTTACCCTTTACATTGAGAAATAACAAACAGTACAACGCTGAAAAATACTATCTTTGAAATTTTATTTAAATGAAGAAACACACACCATCTTTTTATTTAAGCATTACACTTCAAAAACAGATACACATACCAATTTATTTTCACTAGCCTTTATACTGAATAACATGCCATATAAAAATGAAAAGAATTATCCTTGAAATTTAGATAAAATGAAGTAAACATACATAATGCATTACAATGAATAAAACCATTATGAAAAAAATACACTTAATAATTTCTTTTGCCCATTACCCTCTATACTGATACACATAATATAGTATGACAGGATACACATTTTGTTAAAGGAACTTTTTTAAAGACACATCTCATTAGTCAAATTTCAAACACATATTCATGAAGATTCATGAAACAGCACAATCACCCAGTTTCAAAATCAAACATAATGGGAAAATTTATGCAAAATGGATTTATGCATGTTTTCCATTGCTATGTGTCTGACATGATCCACAAGTGCCTAAAAATGTACCCAAAGGAAACACATTTCAATATTAACAAAAAATTGTTTACAGATTAAAATTCATTCATTTCATACCAGTATTATAAAGATCATGCATGAAACAAATCTGCTTTCCCATACTTTTAAGTAAAACTGAACTGAAATTTTATACTGGAAAATATGCTATATTTCTATATATTAGAAACAAGAAAATAATACCATAATAATATACTCATAGCCTAGCAGAAAGTAACATATATAACATCAAACACAGAAATTTATATACTCGTAGCCTAGGAAAAGTAATACATATTACATAAAACACATAAATTATTTAATATAAAACATACATACCTTCTAAAATTATTTTATTTTACTTTTTGTTTCTTATTGGCCGATGCTGATGAATATGAAACGTTATGGGCTCTTTTGTTGATAAGATGCTGTGTAAGGGCCTTTGCATCTAGTAATAAAAAAATTATCAATAATTACTTTCTTAAGATTACAGCATTCTGGCATGGCCACATGCGTACATTTATCAATTATTCTTTCAACTTAATTCTTTTGTGATGGCTGATTGTAAACGAAGGAGTACATCTTTACATTTTTGAAATTCTCGTTCAGCTTCCCTACATATTTGATACATTCCTGAAGAGATGACCTTCAGTCCACCTTTATTGCTATGTTTTGTAAGAATTGTGCGATGCTCGGGTATGTCAGGTTCCAGCATGTCCTCTGAAATGGTCATAGCTGTTTTACAATTTTCACATATGCCTTTTTTTTTTTTCAACAACTTATTATATATGGCTCCTGCGATGTAATGTATATCATTTTCTTCCACAGCTGGGGGCAAGCGACGTTTCACTGCCACTGCAGAGAGAGGTAGATGGCACTACAGAATTGGAGATAGGATGCAAGACCTCCTTTCTGATAGCAACCTCTAATTCAGAAGCATCAAAGAGGCTGTGGTCACTTTCAGAAGAATAATTTGGATTATTGATATCTGAAATGAACTGTGATAGGCACACTAATTTCAGTGCTCTCTTGGCTTGCAAAGCAGTAGGCTTT